GAAAAACTAATTAAAGTAGGCATTATAGGACATCAAACATGAAAATATTGCATGCATAAAATGTTTTTGAACCAGTCCTATTTTATGCAAAAAAAACCCTGCAATTCGAGACCGGGCTGTCTGGATATTCTGCACTGCCCGATTCCCTACAAATCAGAGGACTGCCGCCCTCGAGGGAACTAAATCGCTGCCTGATGAGAGTGCCGAGACCGCCATCCGAACCTCCGCACCGCCATTCGACTGACTGAACGAGACCGCTGCCTCGCCTCCTGTGACGCATGGGTCTCGATCTGAAAATTTCCCATATAAGGGGGGGCGTGCCTTCGGATGGGTTTCCCCCCACAACTCTCTCTTGCCTCCTAAGCCTAAGAGCCTGCAAAACTCTATATTTCTACTCCTCCAAGCCTTCTTTGCTCAAGATGTTCAGCATAGGAACCGCACCGCCGTCTCGACTCAGGTAAAGTCGAGACCGCCGTCCCTGAACCTCCGACCGCCGTCTCGACCAGACAACCCAAACGAGACCGCCGTCTCGACTTCCCAGACGGCGGTCTCGATCTGAAAAATTTCCCTATATAAGGGGGCGCGCCTGGATGGGTTTCCTCACAACTCTCCTTCCCTCCTAAGCCTCCAGAGCCTCCAAAACTCATATTTCTACTCCTCCAAGCCTTCTTTGCTCAAGATGTTCAGCAGAAGTGCCTCCAGGAAGAGAAGGGGCACCGCTGGTGCTAGCAGCTCGGTACCACCGCCACCCCCAGATCCTTCTCAGCTGTCACCACAGCACCACGCCCGCCTGGACAACATTAGGAACTACCAGTGGCACTCCATGCTGACACTGGACTTCGGCGTTCTGGCCGAATTTGGATGGGAAGAAGACGTCAGAGCCCACATCGACAGCATTGGGTGGGGCTTTCTGCTGTGAACCCCACCCACACATGTGTACCCCCAAGCGGTACAAGAATTCTTGGCCTCCATCTCTCTCATCGAGATCCCCTCCATGGCCTCGGGCATGCAACCCACCAAAATGGTGAACTATTTCATGGGTGGGCAATACCACACCACCACCCCGGAAGAATTCAATGTGTCCATTGGATTCATCCGCCCGAGGAAGCACCGACCGGGAATACCGAGAGGCCATCTCGCTCTCGGCCCGCCAACCTCACCTCCGCGGAAATGTGGCATGAGCTCACAGGAGCAACCACACCGCCCACTTTGATGAGAGGCTCCGCACCGCAACCGGCACTCCGCATTTGCCACAAGCCGCCGGCAGTGCACAATCCATGGGAGGAAGGAGAGCCAAGGTAAGATCTCCCTCCTTGATCTCTTTGTCCTCTACCGCATGCACCAGAGGCGGCGCTGCAACCCCGGATACTTTCTCCTAAGGGCCCTTAAGGACTTCGGGAGCAGATCCACGGGGGCCGTCCTCATAGCTCCCCTCATCACCCCTCTGGCAGAGAGAATGGGGTGCCCTGGCCGGGAAGAGCTGGCCCGCAACCTACGACCCGAGCCCATCAATGGGCCAATGCTGGTCAGCATGGGGATGCTGATACGTCGGGGAAACCAGTTCGCCCTGCACCCCTCCCTGGACTTCGAGCTGGATCTCCAGGGGATCATGGCGATGCAGGATATGCCCACATCCCCCGGCTCCCAATAGCAACAGCAACAGTAGCAACAACCACCACCGTACACAGAGGACTTTGCTGGCATGCACCAACACATGAATGATCTGAGCCAGCAGTTCGCCCAAATGGCGGTGTGGCGAGAGCAGCAGACCCAGTGGCAACAGGCCCACGATGCTCGCCAGCAGGCCTATCAAGCTCGCCAGAACGAGATCTACCAGGAGCAGCAGAGGATGCGGCAGGAATGGACGACATTCCAAGAGGACTACCGTGACGAAAAGGCATACGCTCAAGAAAAAAAGCTTAAAAGAGAAAAGGCATACGCTCAAGAAAAAAAGCCAAAATCCAAAATCGCGAGAAAAAAGAGATAAAACCGCGAGAAAAGGCAGGATTAAAACAAAACTCCGACTACCAAGAAAAAGTCAAACACAAAAAGAGAAGAGAAGAACCCGACCAGCCAGCAAGAGTCAGATGATTACCACAAAAAAATCAGAAACAAAGAATCCCCAGCAACCAACAAAGCTGGATGGACAACCAACAAAAAAACCCCGGCACAACCCGGATGAACATCTACCAACACAGAAATCACTCCCCAGTGAAACGGCGCATGAGCTACCCAAGCAGTAAGCCGCCACCACCACCAGTCCTACGCAACGGACTGTACCAGCCTAATAGGGGGTTTATACCTATCAACCAGCACACAAGGAGTGCCTAAACGGCGCATGGGCCACCTGAACAGTAAGCCGCCACTACCACCCTGATGGGAGGTTCATACCCATCCGGTCCCACCCAATGGACCGTACCAGCCTGATGGGGGGTTCATACCCATCTGGTCCCACACAACGGACCGTACCAGCTTGATGGGGGGTTCATACCCATCCAGTCCCACACAACGGACTATAACTACCAGCCTGATGGGGGGTTTATACCCATCAACCGAAGGATCGGCTACATCAGGAGTAGTATCCGGAGGTTCTACCACGTGTCAACCAAAGGGATCGGCTACGTCAGGAGTAGTATCCCGGAGGTGCATAAATACAACATCTCCCCAGAGGATCATCCGCCACAAGACGGGACGTTCGAAGGGTAGCCAGGCGAGAGGGTCAACTCCTTTACCTTCCTGTCTACCTGTCTGTCACAACAAAGCCAACAGCCGACTAGTCAGGTAAAGGGGGGGCAGCTGTAGACCCTAAATCTTGCCCGACCTCCAAATAAAGTCAGAAGACCCCCTATTTGAAGACGACCGAAGCCTAACAAGCCACTAGGAGAGACTATTAGGCCCCCGTGCTAAGATAGGAGGGTTTTTTGGCCCGAAAAATAAAGTTTCTCGCCCTGAAGGGACGAGACCGCCGTCTCGCCTCACGCCAGGGACGAGACCGCCGTCTCGCTTGTCCAGACGGCGGTCTCGTCACCTGAAAAGGCCGAGACGGCGTTCTGGATTATCCAAACGGCGGTCTCAACTTCTGTCTAGTCGAGACGGCGGTCTGGATTATCCAGACGGCGGTCTCTACCCCCTTCCATGGTCGAGACGGCGGTCTGGATTGTCCAGACGGTGGTCTCGACCCTGTTAGACGAAACGGCGGTCTCGACCTGTCAGGCGCGAAAAACTATAAATAGGGGCTCCATCCCCCCTTTTTCCACACACAACACACAGTAGCTCCTCCTTCTCTCTAGATTTTCTCTCTCTAGAACCGCTCCGAAGCATTTCCGGAGTTTCTGAGTGTCTCTAGGCATAAATTGAGCGTCTTAAATCTTCTTTAGAACCCCTCCGAGGCATTTCCGGAGTTTCTGAGAGTTGTAGAGTGAAGGGTTGCCAAAAAGCACCCACTCTTTAAAGAGAAATACAAGAAGCTTGCTTTGAAGGTGCACCCTCTCTCTTTCTAATTTTACCGCTTTCATTTAAAATTATGCAATAGATGCTAGGGCCATGTAGTCATAATCTTTAAATACCGCATAATAAAAGGGTAAAAGCGCAATTTTCCAGTTTAATTATTTATCCAGAGTAGCCGGCCTATCATAGGGAACCCGAAAGGGGCGTCGTAAAGGAACTAATACTTCCTTTACACGTAACTAACTCCCTTACCCAACTCTGGTTCTAATGACCAAAGTTGGTTTTCGAAAACCAACGCCTTTTTAAAACTCCTTTTCCGATGTTTCCGGTAAAAACATCGGTGGCGACTCCACGAACCCTTCAAAACCCGTTCTTGGGTTAGCCCGGTTATCGGACAACCTAAGGACGTTGTAATCACCCATAAAAAATGCGAAAGCAAGAGGGTCAAAAAAACCATCGCGTCGCTCCGACCGCCCCTTCGTTTTTTTGGGAGGCGGCGACAGTTCCAACTCGACCTTCCACTCCATGGTTAAGCGTCGGTGGAGAGGGATTCTGGAGAAGCTTTTCAAAGGATTGGGGAGCATCCCCATGTGACTAGAGGTGTAGAAATACGTGATACCCCACACGAAGAGCATTGAAGAGGAGCATCTGAGTGTTCTCCCTTGCTTTTGGTGACAGAATTCAACCGAAAGCAAGGTGTCGGTAAGAAGTGCATGCAAGGGACTCTTGGAGTTCACGTCCCAGGCGAAGAAGGCATCCATGACGGCTTGATCCACTGTATCAAGGTGGAAGGGAAACAACATAGTCCCAAACACGATCAAAGCCAGGGTTTTGTTAAAAGCAAACTAGTCTGCCCTTTTAGTCAAAGAGGACAGATGGTCTTCTAACATTGTGACTTTCCAACCCTGGACATTCCCTTTTGCTATCAGGGTAGTCTGCCGAGATTGCAATCAGATGATGGCAGCGACTTGGGCTGCAGGAGTATATGCCTCATGGCGAATATGGACCCCGGCTGACTTGGGCCATCTTAACATAATCTCGTACTCCTCCAAAGTGGGCACCATATCAAACTGCGAAAATTTGAAGCAGTGCAGACTGGAGTTTCAAAAATGGACCAGAATCCTTACGAAAATAGGGTCGACACAGATCTTCAGTAAGTTGGAGCGGACCTCTGGTATCATCAACGCGCAGAGTCGTTCTATCTTCTCCACATGGTATCGGGGAATATCAACTTTCTTCAATTGTCTAATAGTCCCCTCCATTTTCTAGAAAATAAAAATGCATGCTATGAATATGATGCTTAATGTAGGCATGCATCCATGCATGCATGCAAGTGTTTATTTTCTCTAAACATTATCATGTTTTATTTCTACATGATGCATGATAGTGTTTGGTTTTTGTATTTTTTCGAAAGGAAGACAAACTACCTATATGGATGTTTATGAATTTAATGTTTATGAACAAGATCCCATTTTTTTATTTTATTTGATTTTCGGTTTATTTGTTTGGTTTATTTTATAACCTTTTATCTCTTCTATCGGATTGCATGGCTACTTAGCTTACAAAGAACTTGAAACGAGGCTAACTAAAAGTCAGACTGTCCGAGATAAAAATTATTTATTGCAAAAGAATAATTTTAACGTCTCTTATCTCTTCTGGCGGACTGCATGGCTACTTAGCTTACAAATAACCTGAAACCAGGCCAGCTAAAAGGTAGATTGTCCAAGAAAAGGGTGTTTATTGCGAAAAGATTTTTGTGATTTTCTTTTTTATCTCTATATGTTGTATGTTTATGCTATGCAACAATCAAATGAAACAAACAAATGCACACACAATTCACTCATCCGCAAACAAGTAGGATGACATTTTTAATTACGAGGTAGGGTTTTCCTACAAAAGAGTGCATATTCAAGGTAGTTCTAAATT